TACCGTTTAAGACCAAGGCTTTTCCCTACTATGATGACTTGTGTATGGTTTTCGGCAAAGATCGTGCAACTGGTAGGGGTGTCGAAGCTACTACTGATGTAATTGAGGAACTTGAAAAGGAAGCAGCTGACGACATTAATATTGACGATGACTGTTTCAATAACATTCACAATACGACTTATGTGGATGAAGCACAATCAATGTCTTTCTCACAAGCATCGGCTGTTCCTCAAACTTAAGCTCAATCTCAAGGGTCGTCTAAAAACAAAGAAGAGTACAAACAATGTAGAGGCTTATGAAGCCATTGAAAAATCATCTAGTTTACTTGTTGGTGTTATTGAAAAGGCAAGTGAACGTTTAAGTCGGGCTATCGGTGAAGACATGATGGAAAAACATAGCCAAATTAGAGATGAGCTATAGAGGACCACAACCATTAACAAAATGGAACGACATAAGGTAGCTCAGATGATGGTAAAAGATGATGCTTTAGTTTCATACTTTTTTAGTATCCCTGATGATGAAAGAGATGAGTGGGCTAGAGGTTTTCTTGCTGGTGATATTTAGGAGTGGTTGTTTAGTTTCAGTGAAAAAGCATAGTCAGATTATCTTTTGATATTGTAATATATGTGCTATGCATTTCTCTTTTGATATTGTAACTAACTAGGATTATGCTTCACTTTGTTAAATTGTATTAACTAGAAACTTGCTTCACTTGGCAGATGATGGATGTTGTATATAGGTAATCTATTAGTTTTGGTGTATGACTATATTTTAGAATTATATATGTTGTTGAATGATATATTATGTCATTTTTATTATTGACAGGAATTAAAGTGATCATTTTACTCGATACATATCATAGTAGATACCAAAAGTGATTATATTTAGGCATGTGATAATTTATTATTACATAAAAATATCAAATATTATTTTTTTTACCATTAAAATGTAGTTTTTAAATTTTATCCTCCAAGTAAATTTTTTTTACTATTTTAATTAATTAAATATTAAATTATTTAATATTATTAATTAAGGATATTTTTATTAAAATATAGTTTATTTTTATTTTATTATGTTGTCAATCAAATGACATAATTCTCATTTAAGTATTAATTTTATAACTTCAATTAAATTAAAGAATCAATTTATAATTTTAGCACATTTTAAGGGCCCGTTTAGTTCGCTGATTTAAATTTTTAATTCGAGTTGAGATATGATTTTATGGGAGAGCTTTTTACTGTAGTAAAAAATTTAGATGTGACTATTTCTGAGAGCTTTTTACTGTAATAAAACTCAAATTCTAAACTCAAATAGGTGAAATGAACAGGACCGTGATAGATCAATGTAAAATCTAACAAAAAAAAGTTCGGCTATAAATTATGTTTGTTCACTAGAAAAACTCAGTACTTGCCGCCACAAATTACAGAGTTGGGGTGAGCATACTTTTGGTAGCATTCCAAAAAAAGTGCCAGCCTTGCATAAATTTTTAGAAACTTATCTCATTTATTTCGTTGATTTAAATTTTTATCTGAATTTAGATGTGATTTAATATGAAAATTTTTTATTATAATAGAAAAAATTAATAAGAATTTTTAATTATAATAAAATTAAAATTAAAAATTTGAATTAGTAAAATGAACAAACCCTTAATAATCTCCCCAATTGGAGCAATCGTAAAGATGACATTCTGAGGCTTGAAACAAAGCTTGATAGGTTCCTAGCTTTGGAGGAGTATTATTGGAAGCAATGAGCCAGATCTAATTGGTTGAAAGGTGGAGATCAGAATACCAAATTTTTCCATTCGAAAGCTTCCTCGCGACGAGACAAAAATGAGATTGAGCCCGTTTGGTTCATGGATTAAAACCATGTAATTAGAACTATTTTCGATTTACGTGTATTTTTTGTGAGAGAAAATACTGTAACGAACCACGAATCATGATTCGAATCAGGGAACAAATCCCTTTACCAAACGGGCTCTAAGGGATTAGAGAATTCGTTGGGAGTGTGGGTGACGGAAAAGGAAGAGCTTGTGGTGGAAATAGAACACTATTTTAATCATATTTTTTCCACTATTTTGCATGATCGGGAGCATATGGATTTGGTTCTTGACGATCGCGGATTTCAGACTCTATGAGGGCTGATTTAGATGCCCTATTTTTGACAAAAGAAATTAAGACCGTATTTAAAATTGATCTTGTTTTTATTTTTCATGTTTTTTGAGAAAGAAAAAATAAAAATGTATTTAAAACGATATTTGACGCAATAAAAATAAAAACAAAATTGAAAATGATTTTTTAGTTTAGTATAAAATGAGAGAGAAATGAAACATTTTTTATTTTCGTTTTCTCCTCTCTCGAGCAGAGAGAAAAAGATAAATATTAATGAATTTTTTACACTGAAAATAATCTCTTGATAAAATTACTAAACACGTTTTTTAAAAATAATTTATGTTTGCAATTGAAAACATTTTATTTTTATTTTCATATAAAAAATAAAATTATTTTAAAATAAGTTCTAAACGCGCTCTAAAATTGCTCTTTTCAGTATGAGAGCGTGGAAGGCTCCTGGTCTCAATGGTTTTCACGCAGGTTTTTTTCAAGAGAATTGGGCCCTCGTTGGTGCAGAGATCACCCAGGTATGCTTGCAAATTTTGAAGGGCCGACAATCTATCAGACCTCTTAATGAAACGTATGTTGTCCTTATTCCGAAGATTGTCACCGTGGAAGATTTTGAATTTTAGGCCAATTAGCCTGTGTAATGTTTATTTATATGATAGAAACTAAAGCACTCGCTAATAGGCTTAACTCCTATCCCCCTGCAATCATTTCGGTTGAGCAGAGTGCTTTTGTTCCGGGCCGGCTTATTACAGATAACATTATTGTTGCCTTTGAGACCATGCATACGCTTCGACGTAAGACATGGGGCGTGAAGGTCATATGGCACTTACGTTAGATATGAGTAAAGCTTATGACAGAGTGGAGTGGTCTTTCCTACGTGCTATCATGGGTAAGTTGGGTTTTTTCAGGAGATTGGATTAATAAGGTGATGGATTGTGTAGAAACTACCTAATTTTCATCCTGAAAAATGGTAAGCAGTAGGACGAGTGATTCCTTTTCGAGGAACAAGACAGGGTTGTCCGTTGTCGCCTTATCTATTTTTGCTTTGTGCGGAGGGTTTTTCTTCTTTACTGAGGCGAGCGGAGCATGAAAGGGAGCTGATTGGGATCAAATGTGCTCGGCAAGCTCCTCCAATTTCGCACCTTCTCTTTGCGGATGACAGTATAATTTTTTATCGAGCTAATGTGGAGAATTGTCAAGCCATCAAAGGGGTGTTGCAAGATTATGAGAAAGCGTCTGGACAGTTGATTAATTTCCAGAAGACATCCATTACATTTAGTCCGAACTTGGGATGAAGATAGGAGAGAAGAAATTCTATCTTTGTTGAGTTTGGAGCGAGGTGCTTCTCATGATTTTTATCTCGGTCTTCCTGCGTTTGTGGGGCGTAATAAATGTCGGCTTTTTAATAGAATTCGAGAGAAATTATGGAAGAAGCTACAAATGTGGAAAGGTAAATTGTTTTCTGTGGGAGGTAGAGAAATTCTAATAAAGGTCGTCGCCCAGGCTACCTCCACCTATGCTATGAGTGTATTTAGATTACCTTCCACCATTTGTGATGACTTACAATCTCTCGTCGCTAGATTTTGGTGGGGAGGGGGATGCGAGGAACGGGAAGATGCATTGGATTCGTTGGCAGTTGCTATGTCGACCAAAGCATGATGGTGGGATGGGATTCGTTGGCAAGGGCGGCTTATTACTACTCCGCAGTCGTTTTGAAAGCTAAATATTTTCCTAATACGGATTTTTTATCGGCGCAAGTGGGTCACAACGCCTCCTTATCTTTGGAGTAGCATCATTTGGGGTAGGGAGCTTCTTCAATCAGGAATTAAGCGGTGGATAGGTGATGGTACACAGGTAAAGGTTTTGATGATCCATGGTTACCTAGACCTTATTCTTTCCGGGCTATTACTATACCATCCTAGGAAACTTGAGATCTCCGTGTGGCGGATCTTATTGTCAATTGAATGTGGTCTCCAATGGCTCTTGGCTCTTATTTGTGGGAGATTGATAAGGAGCTAGTCCACAGCCTACCCCTCCGGAATCATGGTGGAATTGATATGTTTGTTAGTTTATCAATCTATCCTAAAAGTTTAAGCTAATAGGAGGTGGGTCAACAATAATTTTATACTTTAACACTTCCCCTCACGTGTGGGTTGAACAATTGGCAATCGTGTGGGTAAATTAATTGGAAAGCCCAACACGTGAATATTTAAGCCTGAAATATATTAAAAATCTAACACGTGATGACAATTTAAATGGGGATAAAGAGTGCAATTACAGGGGTTTGAACTCAGGACCTCTCGCTCTAATATCACTTGTTGGGGAGACACTACATGCGAAACTGACCCAACACACTTCAAGAGCCCAACTTGATTCTTTGGTAAACTAACATAGTATCAGAACCGATGGTTCGTATGGGTCAAGCGATCACACTCGGTTGCAGTTTTCACGTTGCCTCCCTTGGAGAGTTGGTGTTCCCGTAGATGCGCGGATGGTGGAGCATTTGGTGCATGGTTTCGGCTCTTTTTTTCATGTTTGAGTTGGCTCCCATTTGGAGTATGATGCTTGAATGTACCGGCTACTTGAAATTTTAATTTGAGGGAGAGCTCGGTAAACACACACATGAAGAGGAGATTGTTGAGAAAAGTACATGTGTGTGTTGTTTCACATGAAAAGTTGATGAGAATGTGAAGTGGTTTACACAAAAGTATATGTGTATATACACAGAAGGACTTAAGACCTAATAGATTAACTTTTTATGTCAAATTAAGCTTCAGAAGTGTGTTGGGTCAATTTTACATGCGGTGTCTCCTTAATAAGATGTTAACGTGGCATTTTGACAAAAAAGGAGTTTATTCGGTGCGCTCGGGCTATAAGGTAGAGATGTCGAGACGAAGTTGTGGAGAGATTTTAGGACCGTGTTCTGCCGTTACTTGGTGCCGAAAGTTGTGGGCTTGTCACAGTCTGAGAAAGGTTAAGATTCACATGTGGCGTGCTTTTCATAGAGCATTGGCTGTCAAGGATAACTTGCGCTCGCGTGGGATTTCATGCCCGATAGTCTGTCCAGTTTGTGAGGAAGGTACAGAGGACTCTACCCATGCTCTCTGGTTGTGTGCAGCTGCTCGGGGGGTATGGATTTCTAGGTCCATTTGGGAAGTGCTCTGTAATTTCAGAGGTAGGCCTTTCGATGCTTTTTGTTTGTTCATATCTCAGCAAGTTAATAATGAATGTTTTGAGCTCTTCTGCATGCTTACATGGAGTCTTTCGTATTCCCGTAATCAGTGTATTTTTAATGGGAAAGCTTACTCTACCATGGAAATAATAGAACGTGCTGGAATTGGAAATGTGTATAGTGATTATAATTTTTGTAGAAAAGTAGATGGAAGTCATGGGCATGGCTCTCCAATAGTGAGACATGCTTGGCGCCCACTTGAAGGAGATTTGGTTAAAATTAACGTTGATGCATTGGTACTTAGTTTTGTGGATTATGTTAGGATTGGTGTCGTGGCCCGAGATAGGGCCGGAATAGTTCTTGCTGCAGCTTCTACAAAGTTTCTTGGCCGCTTCTCTCCTCACATGGCCGAGTGTATTGCTATTAGGGAAGGGACTATGTTGGCTCGCAACCTAGGATTTGAGAAATGGGTAGTTGAGTTGGATGCGATCAATGCGGTTAATGTGGTTCACTCCCCACCTGTTCGGGCTTTGGAGGCAGGTATTTTACAAGACATTAGACATGTCTTCTCTCAAGCTTGTTGTAGATCTGTTTGGTACACTCCGCGTGAGGGGAATTTTGTAACCCACACGTTAGCTAGTTTCGCTTTTACTAGATTTGCAAATAAGTTTTGGGTTGATACTATCCCATTTTTTATTAGTTGCGTTGTACTCAATGACTTAATTCGTGATTAATAAAATGACATTTTTTTTCTCAAAAAAAAAAAAGCGTTAATTTAATAAAAAGAGAATATTGAATTTCTTCTCCTCTCTCCTTTTTTTTTTTTTTTTTTTTTTTTTTTGTTAACGAGATCTAAATCTTACAAGAAAAAGAAAACTTTAATTGTCATTCTTTACATTCATCATGCGTGGTCCCACAATCTAACTTAGATCTTCACTTCTTTAAAAAAAAAAAAAAATTAGTATAGCTAATAACTTGCTAAGCCAATTCATAAGGGAAATTTACCTTTTTATTTCCCAGCATCTTGAGGTTATAAAAACATTATACCTTGCATTTTATATTGTTATGCTTTTATAACTTTAAATTGTTTATGCTCAACCTATATTGTTTTTCAGTCAATTGCTTATTTTAATTTGTGGAATCCTCAAAATAACCTTAAATAGAATTCATCAATTTTGTTTCCAGGATAGAAGTAATACATCAACAATCCAAAAGAAATTCTCGAAAAGTCAAAATAGACAATTAACTGATAAACAATATCGGTTAACCTAAAATTGACAAGATAAAAGGTAGCAACATTTTCAGAATGCGGTGTATAATTTTTCAATGATCTCTAAGTGCACAGTATAAAAAATTTAAATATCCCAATTAATAACTAAAATGCTTGGTAAAGAGATGTTCAACAATTTCCCCTACAAATGATATCTGACTTCCTTTTCTACGACAATATTGAGCGCCCATCTATTTCTACCACTCGAGATCCGAGAAGTTCAAGTCTCTCCAAATCCTTATCTACGTTCATACATGGCAAAGGGTGCGATGTGAGGCGAGATTAAAGATTTCCAAGAACTTCTACTTGAATTGCTTTAGGTTTGAGAGATTCAAGTCGTTCATTGGAGGATTGAGGCGGAGGCAAAAAGGGAAGGATAAGAGCCTTATGAGCTTCAATAAGGCGGCGGAGCCCGTGAGATCGAGATACATTTGACATCTGGTGCGCCTTGGCTCATTGGTGAAGAGAGTGCAAAGGCAAACAAGACGAAGAGACATAAAGAGAAGAGAGAATAAGCTACTAGGTTCTCTATAGAAACAAAGGTTAAAAATGAGAGCAATTGGGAATTTCAATGAATGGTAAAAGTGTTGGAATTGGTTAAAGGGGCATAAATCTTAAAACAAATATGTTGTTGCAGAAATACTAATACGTGTAGGTTGTGGCATGTTACCTAATTTTCTCACCAATTTCTTGTTCAAAAGCAAAAGCCTCCTAACAATGTTTCATTCTTTCTCCTCACGATCCATATCTGTTTTGACGTAAATTATAAATTTACTCCAGTAAATAGCCAAGTTACTCTGAAGAAACAAAGTAAATAAGAGATTTACCCCCCAGTTGTGATAAATAAAAACTCTTACAGGCCTCCCACGAGAAGCATGGTTATTTTGCTGTTTTCGATTGCCAGAGGCAGAAAAGAGGTAGATGACGTCATTGTCGGGGATGATATAGCGGCAGAAGACAGGGTAGGCTTTTAGGGAGATTTTTCCTTGCACGAAATAAATGGCACCAAAACATTTCCAAACACCATTTAACTTACATGCCATGGCCTAAAATCCTCGCCCTCCAAAGTAAACGAGAGCATGAAATTGAAGACAAATCACAAAAATAATCGTTCAATACTCCCATCTTCTCTTTTTTCCATTATCGTCAAGACAACCAATCAAAATTTGGTTCACATCAGACTCACTAATAGCACCTCAACTAATCAAAGGCGATACAGCGCGGCAAAGGCTGTCAAAAGGTCCTTTTTGAAGACTTTAGTAATTGGGATATACGGAGAAGTCTTGCATAACTGGTGCAACTACATTCTTCTTCATCTTCTCGACAGAATGTATAATTCACACACAATATCCACATTTAACCTACAGAAACTCACATAAATGGACTTTTTTGAATCAACATCCATGAAAATAAAGGAAATCCGCCTTGGATACCCCTGCCTAGGCAAAATTAAAGATTCAGAAGTAGGGGCTATAGCGCATGGGCATTCTCATCCTTGGAACCTTTCTGCAATAACAATCGCAAAGAAAACAAATTGCGGAATGTCAGGATTCATATAACAGGATAAATGTCTCTTATCGATCAAAAAGGAGAAGGCAATTATCGAGGCATACCCATATCCATAAGGTGAGTACATAAAAGGAGGAGGTACATAAGGACTCCTTCCTCGGAAGCCCATGTAGGGATTTGGTCGGCGAGGACGGTACTGCTTCATCCCAGGAATATTAGTCCGTTTAGCAGAGACCTAAACCAATCAAAAGAGCTAATGTAGTTGAAAAGGAAATATAGAAGCAATCAGAGATAGAAAGGTCAACTCATTGCCACGTCTAAAGCATATATTGTTCACAAGTATAAGATTTAGGGCCCGTTTGTTTCATATACTCAAACTCAAATCATTGATTCTGCTACAGTGTTTTCCTCACAGAAAATTTGAATTTCAAACGTCAGAATCAAGAATCATGATTTGAGTATATCTTCCAAACGGGCCCTTAAAAAAACACAAACAATTGCTAACACCTTTAATTGGCGCCCATGTAGCTCAGATTCATTCAAAAGGATGGCCTCTTGAACAGCTTCTACTTCGACGAATTCCACATAAGCATAACCTTTTGGTTGGCCAAACTTGTCAGTGCGAATTGTAACTCTGTTCACAGTTCCACATGACTGGAAATGCTGCTGCACTTCTTCAGGGGTACATGAATAATCCACCTGCATATGCAACTTACACCGTAAATAACTTAATCATGGCAAAATAACAACCAAGGCTAGAAAACAATCGAGGTTGAGCTAAAAGTTATAGCAACAATTAACAGTTAAAAGAATGCAAGTAACCTCCTTCTCAGTTACCCTCCTCAAATGAAATTCACAAGGATTCCAGATCACAAAAATTTTCCAGGCAAACTTACATTCAAAAGATTTTTACCAAAACCACAAGGAAATATTTCAATGAGCATACCCATCAAAGTGCATTTTATGAAAAAGGTCACGATTTTTTTCCAGCCTCATGCAACAATAAACTAAGAAAGCCTATAAGTAGGTCTTCATCATAAATTTGCTAGCTGAGAACTATATGTTTAGAAATTACCATCCGGTCATTTATATGCCTAGAAGGCTAGAAGGTTAGAAGTTACATTCTCAGTGTCAATTTTTTTTTTTTTTTTTTTACCCAAGTATAAACATGGCAAGCAAATAATATGTATACCAAGCAATCCAGTATATATATTTCGTGTTGTTCCTCTAAACTTGTCCTTCAAATGCACACCAAAAAAAGTAATAATCTGCTGGTGCTTGACAACAAAATGATGTGACCTAAAAGTTGTTCACCCCTCCGCACACCTTTTTGTAGGAACAAAAAAAAAAAAAAAAGACTAGCTTTAAGAATATCTATGAGAAAAATTCCTGCTCTCATATGCTTCTCTTAGCAATTACTATCAGTGACAGATTAATGTAAAGGTAATCTTATCACAGAAGATAACGAACAATGATTCACAGGAAATATGTAAATTCCTAGTCATCCAAAGTAGCAAAAGAAAGAAGGACCAGAGACCCCTCACCATAAGAAAAAATGTACACATAAACCCCTTGAGCTTTAACCACCATCAAAAGATCTGCCTTTGGAAGTAAGCAAGTCTTCAATGCATGTTCGCCTTCTTAATTGGTTCATCCCAACCAAAGAACTTGACTTTATGACCGATACTTGCATTCAAATTTAAACCTCCATTTATTGCTTAATAAAAGTTGGTTAGGATTCCTGTCTAGTTTGCTCTAGAATGCTTTCTCCCAAAACATAACGAATTAATCTTTCAAATTCTCTGAATGTGTTCAAATCTTTCCACTAATAGTCATCTCTTTTTCTTTCTTTGTTTTTATAATTGTCAACCCCCCTCCTCACAAGTCACAACCACCGCACACACACGCCCACAAAATTTCTTCCTGTTTTGCATGACTTTCCTAGATACTTTATTTTTATTTACCAAAGCCTTATTCTATGCAAAGTTTCGAACCCAAGATAACGTTATTGGAAAACTTGAATGAAGCCTGACCTGTCATCATATTCAAACATGAGAATATGAGATGTCAAATCAGATTTTATAGTGTAATTGACGCCTTTTGGATGCAACACAATTAGCGAGCTCAAAACAAAGATTAAAAAATGCTAAAAACTCAAAGAAGGAAACATGTAAATTTTCATACTCCATAGTGAGAATAAAGTGCTAAAAACCAAAAAGGGAAACCACACAAATCAATGTAGTCCATTGGTCAAGTGATCTCAGAGACCTTTCATTAGGGAATTGATTCAAAACAAAACCAACGAGCTGCAAACATGGAGACTGGTTCAATGATGGCCATCCTTTAAAAAATAGGGGGAAATTCCAAGGCCAAAACCATAAATTCAACTTTCTCAATAAGGCTACACCAAGAACAGTAATAGACATCTCAACAAAGGCTGCAAGAAAAAAGATGGTTCAAGTTCTGGTGAAGAAACGTTTTGAATAAGGCATATAAGTAGTTAGCAGTGGAGAACGCACACAAAGATTGTGGTTTTGAAATTCTAGTAATTTCTAAAAGTACTATTGACTTTCACTCTCTCCTGGAATTGATTCTTTTCGGTTCATACTTCAGATTACCTTACTAATATTGTAGCATATTTACAAACAATATAACTTGTTTACAGCCATCACGTATACAAATAAGCCGCCTTACAACTATTTCACATCACGTTTGAGAAGACTATATACTACCGTTATAACCGTATCAGAGGTGGCATAACTCATGGTTGATGCATCAAGTAACATGATATCTCTCAATGAGTGGCTCTATAATTGTCTTGTTCAAGTATAGCATTGAAAAACCAGCAGTGGATCTAAAAGAATATCAATCATGGACATGTGAATGACCACAAGGTTGAAGACTAAAACACTTGTTCCTCTCTTCATCCTAGGCCCTTTCTCACCCCAGAGAACAAACAAGCAAAAAGAGTATAAATTTATCAGAAATGAAAAGATCTTATCATGGAAGAAAGTTACATAGGGAAAATCAATCAATGTTGTACAACCTCATTTACCACTCTAACTCTTCAAAACATCTCAACATTCACTTCTAATTAATCATTGTTTTTGCATTTCATAGAATACCACCACGAACCATCTTCTCCTTCTATCATTCCTCCAAAAAATTTTCTTCCCGAAAGAACCTTCAACAGTTCACCTTTCCATCTTTTGTCATAACTAGCCAATGAATACTAACACAACATCTCAAGAGTGGAAAATTCAAATTAGCATACTTCTTTATATAACAGAAACTAATCTGCACTAAGCCCATCACAACTAGAAGGTTATAGAAACACAACGTCAGCAACCATTACATCTTTTAGAAGGCAAAAAACATCTGGTTTGATGCCTTAACAAATATTTAGAATATGAGCCTCTTTGAGACCATGCACAACTGATTTGGCTCGAGCATAGCCCAGGTAAGGAATGAATCGTTATAACCGACTCAAGTGCCCATTAATTTTTAACTAGTTTAAGGCCAGTAAAGGCAGTAGGCACCATATAGAGCCCTATAAAGAAAGATTCATAAGTAAAAGAAGTACAACAATATGAAGATTAAAAAAGACCACTACACCGCAATTGAATGGAAGTAACATACAAGCCTTTAATGGTTGGGAAAAAATAAATAAACGACCAGAGGTAATACCGTACTATACTATATGTGATATAGTCACAAAAAAAATAATCAGCAAAAGCTAAAGGAAACATTTAACATATCATGTGTATGATAATTGATAACCAAAAAAATCAGAGGTAGTATTGTACTAGATGTATGCACGTGCGCATGCGCACACCAAAAGAAAATCCAAACAAACAAACCCACAACAGAAGCTAAATGGAAACTTTAACATATCATGTATATGCTAACAAAAACAAATACAAATTCCATAATAACCACTCAAGAGCCACAAAATTAACAAGGGAAGAAGCCTCACATTGCCCACAAATACTGATCGAGAATCAACTTCCTCTCTATTTGCCTGTGTTCCAGCTGCAGTTGATGGCTCTAATTACACAGGAAAATCAGTCAGAGAAGCAAGGAAAAATACTTTTTAAATTGATACTATTGTAAATTTATAGGCACTATGATATAAGGAATTAGACAGGGAAATAAAGAACAAGAGAACAAGTGATATTATTCCGTTCCAATCGAAAAAGAAGCTTCTTTACGATTCTTATCCTAAGTCCCGACCTTTCCATCTGTTTCAATCACATTAAAAAATTGTTCACAGACTGGCTAAATATAGCCCAACAACGATTCAATAACTCAAAACAAGACAGGGGCTTAGACAAATCGTCCAACTTAGTACCTATTAGTTATTGAGCCAGAACATTCAACATATTTGCCCAATGTCCTCCAACGAATTGCAAGCACACATATATACACATATGTAATTAGAAACACAAATATATAGTTGCAATATACTTAATAATCTATACGCAAATGGATGTATAAGTATAGGGAATTCATAATGTTGCACATAAAAAAGAAAAGAGAGTTAAAAAAACAGATTGTGAATGCAGCGAAATAATAAACAAAAGAACTCGTCATCATGATAGGGCCCCGTATGAAAATCGTATCCCTAAAACTACCTAAAGAGTTTGCCTAATGAAATTAGCTTCAATATTGGCATTCACACATCAATCAACAACCTAGGGCACAATTCCCCTTCCCCCCCTCTCTCTAGACATTGCAGATTTCAACGAGCAAAATGCACATAAATCCCTAACTATAAACTTGAAAAAGGGAATAATTCAACAACAAAGAAGAGAAAACTCACCTTGTACGGAACCCATCTCCTTCTCGACCTTAGCCTGCATCTCGCGAAGAGCGGCAGCTTCGTCCTCCATCTCCTTCAGCCGCTTCTTCATGTCGTCAAGCTCCTGCCGATTATTCCAAACAAATCATCCATTTTTGAAATTGAATCAAACTGATTTAGGGGTTTTAGGTTTACGAACGAAATTGAAATCAATCCAATCAATCGAATGATCAAAATTCCAAAGGAAAAAAGAAAAGAGGTAAAGAAGTACAGCTTCCGTGCCATCGGCCCCAGTCATGTCGACGTCGTCGTGTTCCATCTCTCTCACTCTCTCTCTCTCTCGAAGGCACAACAGAGGCAGAGAGAGTAGAAAGAAATAAGCGAAGGCCACTGAATGAAATAAATACCCTCGAGTCTTTTGGCCCGTCTGGCAAATTGTATTTGAATTATGATTTTGAGTTTTGATTCAAATTTTCGTGAGGGAAATATTAGTGAAAATTATTTAATTTAAATTTTTTATAAGAGAAAAAATATTATAAATTTTATTTATTTATCGATTTGAGTTTATAATTTAAGTTTTATTATAGTAAAAAAATTTTAAAAATAGTTATATTTAATTTTTTTGTTACAGTAAAAAATTTTCACATAAAATTACATTTTAATTTGAATTAAAAATATAAATCAGCGAACTAAACGGGCTCATAATAAAACTATTATTTAAATTTGATTATATGTACTAAATAATTCCTTAAATTTTTATCAATATTTTTTTATTAATATCTTTTAGTTAACGAATTACATTATCATTTTAGTTAAATGTATTAATTAAGAGTAAGATGTAAGAATTTATGTCTATGCACGGATAATGATGAATTCTATAATTTTTCTTCTCGTTTTTTTTTTTTTTTAGTATATGATATATGACATATGTTGTGATGGATTATTGTTTGGGTATGTGGGAAAATAGCCTTTTTTTTTATATTGTTTTTTTTTTTTTGGATTTTAAGTATATTGTTTTAGTTCTATGATTCTATATTTAGGAATGAGAAAGTGTACTTTAAATAGTGCACTTTGAATCAAAATTAGATCAAGTTTTGATTGAAAAAGTGCATTATTTTTCCTTATTTTATTTTTTTTACTTTTCACCTTAAAACTAATTCATTATTTCATTTTAGTTCTTTTAACCTTTTATTTATTTTTCTCTTTTTTCCCAAAAATTTTATTTTTATTTTCAATTTGATTCCTTCTGTTTTAAAATTATTTATTTTTCCATTTTGGTTCTTTATTAACAATTTTTCTTTTACTTCTTGCCTTAAATTTTTTTTTTAAGTTCTCTATTTTTTTACCCTTAAAACTATTACTTCTTGCCACCTCATGAATGAAAAATTCTTTGAAATTCGAGGACTCAATTTGTCCTCTAAAATGGTTAATTCCTAATTTTAAAAAAAAAATCACTCGTGATATGTATATGAGGGTCAATTCAATATAAAAAGATAATAATTACCCTTATTAAACACTCATACAGTTTAAATTTTTAATTTTATTTTTAATTTGACTAACATTGCAATAAATTTTAAAGTTTAAAAGGTGAATTACCAAGAAAAAAAAGTTAAAAGATCAATTTATCAAACTCGTAAAATTGATGCGATGTTCACGCAAAATAGCCTTTTTTCTTATAATACCCTTATAATAATAAAATAAAAACATCTAAACAATAAAGAAAAGCTCATCGGCTCTCCATCAACACCGATTCAGGCCTTCATGGCCATTGTCACTTGAGATTCCTTTGTCACGAGCTTGCCTCTGTCACTGCTTCACGAGCCCTTTTAATTTATTTTAGGAATGTAATAGTCCTCTTTTGTAGAAGACTTTTTTATACAATATAATTAGATGATTAACGTCAATTATGCAAAATATAATAAACAAATAAATATGTAAAATATAATACCTATCATAAATAAGATATATGTAGATAAAAGTAAAAAAAGGATAAAAGTCTATAAAATAGTACAAGCCATCGAATAGAAGAAAAGTTTCACATTGATATACCAAAAAGGATAGAAGCTTCAACAAGTTATTATTATTATTTTTTACATAAAGCTAACCCCCTTAATGACTTGAAATAGCTTCCATACTCGAAACTCTAGCATGTTCAAGATTTGAAATTTACTACTAATTGCTTTTGCTTATATTACCCTTGGCCTTAACATTGTAATATAAAAGGACTATATTATTTATGCAATATATAAGGATTCTCCTTGACCTATATTCTCTGTCGTTTGTTCCTCACCATTGCAAAGGCTGCACTGATCATACTCTTGAATATCTCAGAAGTTTTAACGATCACCAAGAACAAGACCCTATAAAAAACCACCATTCCTAGCAACACGGCCAGATCGACCCACTTAGAGTAACTCATATCGACTTCCCATTTATCTCTCAAAATCTCTTCCCCGGTTATAATGGCTCTCCCTCCACCTTCTTCATTGGGAAACGACAAGCCATCAAACTCATTCTTGAACATCCCTTGATAAGCATACCTGTGGAAAGCGACGTAGTACAAAGGGTATCGCCAAAAAACGACGGGAAGATCCCTCGGCAGTCGGAAAAACCCGCCTCCCAAGATCATAAGGCCTTGGATTCCGGCACCGGTGATTATTCCCATGAGGAAGTTTGGGACGATGCTTGCAACGATCATCATTAGGCTCTCCACCAGTATCATGGATGCATAGAGGACGGAGACGAAGTACAGAAAGTGTTCATGGTCTTTGCGAAGTCCCGATAGAAAGTAGGCCAATGCCCCGGGGATTACCGAAACCAAAAACAGGTAGGGTTGAGAAGAAAGTGTGTTGCCAATCACAAACGATGTTGCACCGTAATGTCCGTTTAGTCTTTCTCGTTCGAATACCTGGATCGCACAATGAAATATAATGTTAGAAAACGATTCCAATTACTTTTAGGGAGAAAGAGAGAAATAGACCAAGACTTAAGATGAATTAAAATTAATATGCCAATAGTTTACATAAGTTAATAAATAGGCTAAATTATTATTTTCGTTCATAACTTGTCTGGTTATAAATCATAACTTGATAAGTTATTGTCCATAACTTATCTGGTTATGAACTATAACTTGACAAGCTTGTTTATAATACTTATCTGGTTATGAATCATAACTTGACAAGTTATGGCCTATTAATTTTTATAACTAAAAATTGGCCTATATACTTTCTTAAGCTTTTTATATTGACATATTTCCTACTATTTCCGTTACTTTTATTCACTAATGGGTTTTTAGTACATCAAACCCTAAACTTTTTTTTTTTTTTAGTATACAACTATTTGAGATAATGTCATTTGTGACGTTCTTAAATTCATATATGCAGTAATCCTATTAAACTATAGACACACGCACACACACAGTTCTCAATCAACAAGGGTAAAATATAATATGTGTTGATGTATCTATTGGTTAAAAATTATTTTATAAGGTTTAGACGCATGGTGCCTACTTTACACGAAAATGGACCAATATTGGAGGTAAAAAAGGAACTATGTTTGTACATGAGCAGCTTTTATGGAATTTTTTGATAGTATAAAATAACAGAACTTTAAGATAATAATCAACAAGGTAAACGAAATGTAATTTTAAACCGATTATAGATAATTTATGGGGAATATAGATAAAACGAATTAAGTTATATAACTCTATATATAATCGAGAGTTCAGTTTTAAAGTTTTGGTGGAGTAGCATGAATGTTAATAATTAAAAAATTAATTAATTAGGGATTAATTATTTGTTATTATTGTAACTAAATAACATATGTCCATCAACTCCCAAGCTAGCTCACAAAATTTCTAGTGAAGATATTGGGCTGATTTTTGACCGTCACAGCAAAATAACACGGGATTTAGCCACCAGGGTGGATGGGACGTGTGCCACAGTCACTGGGGGACTTGGCACGGGTGCTTCATCTGGGACTTGTGGCCGTGGGCACCAATTGCAAGAGATTTTCAAAACGAATTAATTATCAATTAATTAAATGTAAAAAATGAATCAAATATAAATTATGATAATTATCCTATTTGTGGATAATTGGAAACCTAATTTAGATTAAGATTTGAAATGATTAATTACTTATTGTGAAATTAAATAATTAATTTTAATCTTAATATATATGTTTTATTTTAGATAATTAAATCATAAATATTTTAATAGAGACCTTTTCCGGTACGCCAACATACCGGTATGGTAGGTTTTCTATCTGTTAAATCTGTATAAAATCACGTAAAAATTAAAAGTACGCAGATCCAACAGTTAAAAAACTTAGTCTACCGATACACCAGTCATACTAGAGAGAATCTCTCTATTTTAATTAAATAATAGTATTTTTTTAATTTTCCCTTTTAATTATTAAAAGGGAAAATGTATATAGTTCTGGTGGCCTCCATGGTCACGTTGTTGAAGAATTTGAGTGTAGAGGGAAAAAAAAAAGCAAATAATTTCTGAGTTTGAGACGTATAGAAATACTTTCTTTTAAGGTTTTATTTGCACTCACTTTTCAAAGTTTACTAATGAGTTTTATATTGTAATAATATTGTGTTCGAGAACATAAATAATGTCTGTAAATTTTCTGGATAATTAATAAAAATATATGTGTCATTTCATAAATGAACACATTCTCTTTAAACATCATAACATTCACATAAAGGTACCTTTTTCATTGTAAAGGTATCTCTTCATGTATTAATGTATCTATTACAATATATATGTCTATTGGTAATAGGTATTCAGAAATATATTAAAACATATCACCAATGGTTGTAACAATTCGAATTACAAATCACACACTCATACTTTTTCTATCTAGGCTGCAGCGGATGAAAAAACCCGCTGCAGTGGGTTTACTAGTGAAAACACACTAGTAGCAGCAAAGGGCATGCTGCAGCACGACAACCGCGCGTTGCAGCACCGCGCCTGTAGATGTACAAAGTACAAACAACATCTGTTTGGTGTCGTCTCGCGGGCTGCAGCGCATTTTACATGCGTTGCAGTGCTTTGCAGTCCCAAATGCTTCCATTTGCATTTAAATGGTCTGAAAATGTGTGACTTATTATGAGAGACATATTACAATCTTTCTAAGAGGATAGCCATGGCCGGTTGTTCTTCCCCACATATATTTGTTAAAGATCTAGATATTAGAAGATTATTAAACTGAAAAGTTGGAGTAAAAAATGGTCTATTTTTTTCTAGCATTTTAACGTCTCTGAAACTCTCTCAACACAAATGATCTGGATGTAAGAAAATTATTAAAGTGAAAAAAATGGAGTAAAAGTGGTACTGTGGAATCATGTTAACGCCTCCAGAACTCCTACAACGTAAAGACATGGATATTTGAAGACCATTAAAGTGAACATCAATTCTCCATTAAAATAATAAGTAGATTTTATCAATTTAATAAATATATGGGCAAAGGGCAAATAATCGTAGCTACCCCATGGGATGTGATCATGTGCCCTCTACACACTCGAATATTCATATCGAGTCATAACTACTTATTCTAGAAATAAAACGTGTCACCTTAATCCAACGAGGAGCTAATGACATTGAGTTAGTAGCCTATGAATAGTCTCAAACACTTCCTATGGAACTCAAGCTTGAGACTTCCAATCTACAAAAAGACTTGGGAATAAACCCAATACAATTAGGCTACCACTTTAGTGATAGTCTAATTAGTATTTTTGCATATTTGCTTTGAGGGGTTCTCATCTTGATCCCTCAACCTTAATTTGAATTAGAAGGACTATTTGTGATCCATGGGTTTCTACATGCCCACTACATTAGTAATCAAGGCCCGTGATACAAAAAGCTTTACGAGGAAGAGAAGCTATTAATCATCACTCATATCTCACCCTATAGAAGAAGTGCCACTCTACATACTTGCATAAAACTTTAATATACTTAATAGAACTTAATATATAATTTTCTACGTAAGAAAGTTAAACCTTAAGCATATCTAAGAACAAAATAGAAAGCAATACCTTCATGTCTTCCACAAAGGAAGGAAATCCACCAATAGCCATGAAAGTTAAGAATGAAGCTATAAACATGATCAGTGAACCTCTTGCCTGAAACAATATAATGACAAAGCACACAGATTAATATTTAAGTGATGTTTAGTTCATGGGTTCAGAATCATGGTTCATGAGTCTGATTTTTTAAATTTAAATTTTTTGTGAGAGAAAAACATTGTAGCAGAACCACGAACTATGATCTTAAACCAGACAGAATCCTTAAAACAAACATCGCCTTAATTAACTAAAAATAGATTCATCTTTTTTTAGGTGAACCTTATTTGTTGAAAATTGTAACTCTCTTTCTTAATTCCACTTTATTATAAGCTGTATACCTGGATTGACCCGTAATTTGTGCCAATATCATAGTAGATAGTTCCTAACCCTAGAGCCACTAGGATATAGATAGCTATGCGCAACCAATAGTATCCCAGATCACGGTTCATATTTTTGAAAGATCTCCGTGTAAGAACAAGACATTGAGTAAGGAAGCTAGCGTGGCTTCTTTTCTTCTCCACCGCACCACAATCCTGACGTACATGATTAAGAATCATATGTTAGTAATAGTCACTAATTAATATTAATATGAATGCAAATACAGATTTGCCAATCATTTAGAGAATATGAGCTTGAAGTAGGACCAACAATAAAAAGGAAAAAAAAGTAAACAGTTCTAATAAATTGTGGTATTGGGGACTTAGCCAACACACACCTCAGTATTGAGGTTTTGAGCTTAAATTCCCATCTACGAGTTAAAAAAAAAAATAGTAGTAATTGCCTTGTTTCAATGTTACATTACTGCTCAAATTGAAAAGGGTTAGTTAGTTAATTTTAAAAATGCCTCCTAATTATGTATTCAAATTTAAAATGCCATTCATTTTACCCTTTAAACTATGTATTTTACTTCAAAATAACCCCCAAACTACAAATTGTAAGTAAACTTTTTGCCTGAAATGTTAGTATTATGTCAACCTGGCCCCACTTTTTCAAAAGATCGAAACTAATTGACACAAAATCAATCGTTGTAGAGGTATTTATGAAATTGCTTTAGTTCTAAAGTGATTGGAAACAACCCAGTAAAAGTGAAGTGAACCATTTTCAAATTTGAGAGCCATGTTGAACTATCATCCTCGTAACTTATTTTGTTATAATTACAAGAAGACAACTTATACCTATTGTTTTGATTTGTTTTGTTTTTATTTGCCGATTATATTATGGCGCTTAATCTTTTTGGAATTTTGGTTCCTAGTCAAAAACTGAATGATGAATTTTTAAATTTAATAAAGAACCACAATGGCCATTACAAAATAACTTCATTTTACAAAAAACAATCATATTATAGGGTGCAAATTGATATTATCTGTAATATCAAAAACAAAAAATTGATATTATCTTTAGCTTCCTTCAAAATCCGTAATTATAATTTTTGTGCCTAATGCGGCCTTTTTTTTTTGTGTGTGTAAAATCTTAAGTTATTACAAGGTGAGCAAAGACTAAAAAAAAAAAAAAAAAAAAAAAAAAAAAAAAATTTTTTTTTTTTTTTCTCCTTTTTAAAAAATTTAATTTTTTAAAAGGGGGGAAAAAAAAAAAAAAAAAAAAAAAAAAAAAAAAAAAACAAACTGTTACTTGAAGATCATTTAGGGATCAATATAATCAAAAACAAAAGAGAAAAAAAAATGTAAGGGGCCTTTATGCTAATAATCCTTCCAAATACATGTATGAATTGATTGCAAACCATAATCAACCTGCTCATTGGGTTTAAGACGGAAGAAAAGATGTTATAATTAACTTGCACTTAACTAATTACCTGTTTACATATTTCGGCCACTTCTGTTCGAACTTGCCGGTAAGTTACAGATGCTCTGTAAGACTTTGTAAGAGTATCAATTGCATCTTGTACTCTAGGCACTGCTCCATCAATTCCTTGCTCAATATCCTGTCGCAAGTACTAATTCTCTAAGGAATCACAATATATTAAAAGCATGTTTTATTTACTGTGGGGTTCTATATTTACTTACTTTTTTTTCCTTCTTCAAATAGGGTTAGATTCTACACAAAATTAAAATTGAGAAATGAGATGACAATCTCATTCCCTACAATCGAATTTGGACCCCCAATTTTGATGATAATATCAAAATTATTATCGTGCTCATAAATATTTATAACTCTCAAAATATTGGATAAAAAGTACAGCCTGTATTTATTATTTATTTACTTAATATTACAATAATTATCCTAATTATTCTTAACTTTACTATGAGAACTGCACAGTTCAGTTTTTTGCTGAAAGTAAAATAATATATTCAATTTTTCACTTTATTTATAATTTCTATCAATTATCTTCAATATTCGAAACTTTATTTTGTTTTTTTAATAACAAATATTTTCCTGTCATAATATTACAACTACCATTTCAAAATTTACTTAAAAAGGGTTTACAAGTGAATTATAACAAATCATTTTAGTTTTAAAACACATTAATGGGTTTGCATTGACTTTGGTTCTTTTAATTCTAAAACACTAACTTATTCTAAATTCAGAATCCTCACTCTAAAAACTGCTCACTCCAAAATCTATCCGTTTTGATTTATTCTGATCACTTCAACCCTTGAGGAAAACGAAAATTAGAAACACGTTTTGAATTAGAAAAGAAAAAATATTTCGAGTGTTCATCACATGGGGATCCTCGTTTCTAACCTAAAAAAATGTGACAGGAGAAAGGAAGAAACTGTAATGAGAGTAATTACCTGTTCAAAATCCTTGTTTATGGTTTTCAGGAAGTGGTCGGATGGATTTTGGAGGGTCGGGCAAGGAAAACCACTTGAAGCAAAAAACTACATATTCCATTAGACAATGTTAGAGCCTAATATTCGTAATTAGTTATTTACCTCAGAAAAGAAAACTAAAAAGAATGACCAAAAGAAAAAAAAAACTGAAAAAAAAAAAAAACATAATAGAGAGAAGCTAAAAGCAAATAAACTGAAAAAAAAAAAAAAATAGAGAGAAGCTAAAAAGCAAATAAACTGAAAACAGTCAGACGGAGTATGTTGAAACAGATATCCCTTGGCATCAAATTGGACCTAAATACCACCAAAAAAATCATTTCTGGAATATGTGATTCTTAACATTTCTTACTAATTGAAGTCTTTATTTCTTATTAATAGAATGACACATGCTATAATATGTGCTATTTTTTTTTTTTTTTAAGTTGCTAAACTGTCAGGTATGTAAACATGACATGATTTAAGTTATAAATAAAACGATATTTTTAGCCATTCGTACAACTACAAATATCCATTAAAATACAGACCAAAATAGTTAAAAATGACATTCTAAATCTAAATTTTCAAAAAAGTCTAATTTTAAATAAAGTTGTGTGAAAAAGTGAAATTTATATAGCCGTTTTTAATTAACATGAGATTAAAGCTTGTTGTTGTTGCTGCAACACAACTAAAAATATCCATTCAAAACTCTTACCTCATTTGCTCCAGAAGCAGGACCAAGATAAACCGTTTTACCAGCACAAAGAAGGCAAAGACTATCGAAAAGTTGAAAGACTTCAGAGCTTGGCTGGTGAATAGAAGCAACAATAGTTCTCCTATCTCCATCCCTCTGATCCAAGCCGGCGATTCCATTCATGACGTAGTAAGAAGCGGCGCTGTCGAGCCCACTCGTAGGCTCGTCGAGGAAGAGAAGCTTCGACCGCGTGAGGATCTCGACACAGATGCTCACTCTCCTCTTCTGCCCGCCGCTGATGCCCCTCACTCCCCACCCGCCGATCGGAGTGTTGATGGCGCTTTGCAAACCCATCTCTCTTATCGTCGCGTCCGCTCTCTCCTTCTTCTCCGACGCCGACATGGAGTCGGGTAGTTGCAGCTGAGCCGCGTAGTTTACTGCTTCTCCCACCGTTAAGGTGGTCGTCAAAACATCATCTTGTGCTACGTATGCCTACTCAGTTCATCAAGTCCAAAGAAAGAAATTGTTAATGCCTACCTATACCCAAAACTACTCTTTACATTTATTTTTTACTCTTTTAATCTTTTTTTTTTTTTTTATTTCATGTGCGGGCATTAAAACTGAAAAGCAAATATCATGCGCTACAAAAAAGACCGTACCACAATTGCCCTTTTTCCTACTATGAAACGACATTTCAATTTAATTATATGAAATGCTACATTTTAGGTGATGTACATTTTAATACGTTATTTGTTCCTTTTTTTCATGTAAAATATACATGTTTGAAACTAAGGAGTTGTTTGGTTGGGGGATTCGTACCCCGATTCGAATAATGGTTTATAGTTCGTTACAGTATTTTCTCTCACAAAAAATACACGTAAATCAAAAATGGTTCTAATCTCATAATTCTAATCCATGAACCAAACGTCTCCTAAATGCTACATTGTCGTTGTTGTTAGAGTTGTCCTTCCCTTTATGTACAGGTTCAAATTATTTAAAACGGGGTCAATTACATTCATGCCCTCCCACCTAATAAAATAAAGCCTTCCTCCTACAACCCACCTGCATCACTTCCTGTCAATCTCACAGAAAATGCCTTCTATCACATTTATGGCTCGTTTAGTTCGTTAATTTGAGTTTTTAATTTGAGTTGAGACGCGAATTTATGTGAGAACTTTTTACTATAATAAAAAAGTTAAATGTGACTGTTTATAAGAACTTTTTACTGTAGTAAAACTCAAATCAGTGAAATGAACGGAGTCTTAGGTCCCGTTTAGTTCGTTGACTTGAGTTTTTAATTCGAGTTGAGATGTGACTTTATGTGAGAGCTTTTTACTGTAACAAAAAAATTAGATGTGACTGTTTCTGAAAGCTTTTTACTGTAAGAAAACTCGAATTGGTGAAGTGAACGAGACCTTAGTCTGTCATTAACACTTGACCATATTCTTTGACTAATAAACATTCCCAGCCTAAAAAAAATTAGATGCCGGCACCGGAATGGAGACTAGGCTTATATATATGTGTGTGTGTTTGTGTGTGATATTAATTTCCTATCGGCGAAAACGGAATAAGCAAAATTTCATACGTTGGATTTTATATTATATCATACCGATGCACCATAAGCAAGAGTCTGTTTCTGTCCATTTATCAGAATCTCCCCAGTTTGCCTCATCTTTAAACTCAATCTTCCTGAAAATAAATATACGGAATTTAGTTTAAAGTTATGTACTGCTTCGGCAAAGAAATGGCCTCTTGATCATGAAAATCAAAAGTTAAAAAAAAAATGAAAATAAATGCAGCATTTGTTTTTTGTTTTTGTTTCTTTACGTTTAGCTTCTTGTCATAAAGTAGATATGACAGATACTTCAGCCAGGGCACGGCTTCTGCTTCTATTTGCTTAACAACGCAACAAATAAATAAATAAATAAAATAACAAAAAAAAAATGAATGAAAAGAATGAAGAAAAATTATTGGCCTGTTTGGTCATGAGTTTAAGCCAGTAATTTTGATTTTAAATTTAAATTTTGTGAGAAAACACATTAACAAGAACTTTTTTTATTCAATTTTTTTTTATGAGAGAAAAATACTATAGCATAATAAGTACTATGGTTTTAAATGCTTAAACTAAATAGGCTTGTAAGCTTCTCATCTAGTGTAGGATCCAAATAAGGTCCATGGGACAGTGGCCCGCTAAATTCTTTTGAAAATTATAAAGAGAAAAAGTTGATACACTCGATTTAATACCCTTTAGTTAAATAATTATATTAATTAAAAAGAGTATTAATAAAAATAAAAAATAAAAATCTTAGAACAATACATTTAAAGGGTGAATTCACCAATTTTGTCAATTAAAAAATATATCTTGTATGTTCTCAAAATATTACAATATGATCTCTTAGTTGTCCATACTTTTTTTTTTTTTCAAAAATTTATGCCTAGCCTCTGACAAACATTTTTTGTTTTGTATATCCTTTCTTCGTTATTGGTTTATTATTAAAAAATTGACAAGTTGACAAAATTAAGTGTCAATAATATATCTAATAAAAACGTATGGAATGTTTCCATTGATTTTTTTATGAGTCTATTCCCCTTTAAACTTAATCGAATTAGTTGCAGCAGCTAACGGTTGCTAAAGCGAGACGTTACAAATATCCATTTATGTTTATACTTCTGAATATATGTTTGAATTAATTAATATGGATAGTTTAAATATAACGAAATAATGAACATAATTTATTAGTAAATATTAGATTTTTTACCTTTTGCATATTATTGTGTAACTCTAAAATTTTACTGAAAATTATACTACATGGCTGGTGTATAAGAGTGGAATTGAAATACACTGTTTTTTATTGTTTTAAAAGTAGCATAACTATGTAGTAATTATATTAATCATTTTAATTTTTTCTAATATAAAATATTTTTTTTTCACTTAAGTTTTCCCAATAAATTAAAGGATCCGCTACTTAACCTATGTTTAATAGAGTAGAAAAGGGAGAGGAAAGAAATTAGAGAAAACATTTTAGAGAGAAAAGATAATTTTAAGTTCGGTAGAGAAGAGATGGGGAAGGAAAGAAGTTGTGAATTAATGGGGCCTACCATTTTCCTTTCCTTCCAACTTTGAAAAGAAAAGTGGAAGGAAAAAAAATTTAACAAATGATATGTAAAATAACTATTTTAACTTTAAACTATTCACTATATTTTTATTTGTATAATTAAAATACATTAGATTTGATATTTTCTTTTCTATTATTTTATTTCCTTCACTAAGGTATTTATCCTTCCTTTTTATTTTTCATCACTCCTACCAAACATAATATTAGTGTAGTGCTACATTCCACTGGCTTTGGTTAAAGGCTCCTCTAAAAATTTAAATAACTCTTCTGAATAGTCAAACCGGCCAGTTTTTTGTTCCAAACGATCCCCATCCCCACCCCCCCAAAAAAAAGGCAAAGTAAAAGAAAAAAATACACACTTTCTTAAAAGTTAGATCAAAGATTACTCGAGAGAAAAATAAACCAAAGATGTGTAATACTGAGATGGAATACTTAACTCTAACAAATTTATAAATAAACCAAAGATGTGTAATACTGCGATGGAATACTTAACTCTAACAAATTTATAAAGTTACACAAATGCTGCAATGCATATATTTAACCCTAGAAAGGGGTAAGAATTGTATGAATAGCTTTCTTAACAATTATGATAACTTTTAACTTTGTCATTTTGTATCATTTTGTTTTCTTTCCAAAATGACCTGATAAGGGGGTAAGATTTTTTTGTTTGAATAGCTTTCTTAACTATTATATGGTAACTTTACATAACTTTGTCATTTTGTTTCTCTTTACATAATGACTTTATACCCGTGATGACACACGGAATGGGAATATAAGCATATATAATTATAATTTGGTGATATCTGCATCCGAATTAAGTTCAGGGCAAGCTCTATGCAAAATTTCTTTTATCTTTAAGAAGGCAACAATATATATAACTGAAGATTTTAGAGGTTGACGCAATTTCCCAGAAAAGAAATTAAAGAAAGAAGAAGAAGGAGAAGAAGAAGTAAAAGAAAAGGTTTCCAAGGTCTGATATTATATATTTCGTAATTTCATCTTTCCTTCGTCCGACGATTTCGATCAATTCTTGAGGCTTGATAAACTGAAAAACTAAACAAACATAATTAATCGAAAATCTATAGTTTGAATTGCATATTCCACCATCACCGTGCACTGAAATCAGTTGGGGGGAACAAGTGAAAAACCACAGTCAATATCTTGAGATTCTTTTAGCTATGAATATGCACATAGTTTTCAAGATGCATACATTTGTGTGTTTGTGTCTACATATAAAAAGCCAATTCATAATTTACCTGCTAATGCGTCAAGAAGAGTAGACTTGCCAGAACCAGAAGGACCCATGACAGCCAAGAGCTCCCCTGGCTTGGCATAGCCCGTCAGACCTTGAAGGATTGGTTTTTCGTCGTTTCTTCGACCGGAAACCGTCACCCAAAGATCGTCCCATGTCAAGAAAACTCCGCCATCCATGGGCGACGTTTCGGCGACCTGAGAACTAGGACTCGATCTACGGTTCATAAATACTGGACTTATTGCAATCTCTGTCTCTGCAGCAGCTGATCTTGTTATTTCTAAGTTGCCGGGGCCAGTTTCTGTGCTGTTTTCGTTGTGTTGGAAACCGTAGGGATGAAGAACAGAAGCCATGGATGATCAATTGGTATGAGAGAGAAAGAGACTACAAATAGAAAAGAAGGGTTCTTCCTGCTTTGTATAAAAAGGAAGCCCTACCTTGTAAGTATATATAACATGAACAAAGATATAGTGAAACCTGCCTGGAGTTTCTTCTCTCTTTAAACGTCTTAAAATTGAATATTGGTTATATCACTGAAAATGTTAAATATAAAAAGTTGTATCAAATTTAATTCCTTGATTAAAAAAGTACTGTGTCAAGCTTAGTCTTTCTGTTAAATAAAGGGAAATAGTAGAAAATAAGTCAATATGAAAATCTTAAGAAAGTATATAGGCTAATTTTTAGTTATAGAAATTAATATGCCATAATTTGTCAAGTTATGGTTCATAACTAGATAAGTTATGGACAAACTTGTCAAGTTATGGTTCATAGCCAGACAAGTTACGGACAAAAACCATGAATAATTTGTCAAGTTATGGTTCATAACCAAATAAGTTATGAATGAAAACAGTAATTTGGCCTATTTATTAACTTATGTAAACTATTGACTTATTAATTTTAATTCATTTCAAATCTTGACCTATTTCCCTCTTTCTCTCTTAAATAAATAGATAAAAATAACATTAAATATGGATGACTAGACACTTTTTATTGATCATTTAAAAAAAAAAACTATTCTTTTTATTAAGGACATAAAATAGATGGTGACATTATGAGAAATCAAAGCATTTCAAGTGTAAGGAAAAATATATGTGGTTTCAGATATAATCTAACGATAAATTTACATATTAAAAAGAATAAATAAGGACATACTCCGGTAGATCGGTCTACAAGTAAGCTCAGTTTTTATCGTTAAATCTGGTCAAAATTATATCAGATCAGAAAAATATGCAAAACATACGATTTTGATACATATAACAGTAGAAGAGTAGAGAAATTACTAATACTTTTATTTTTTTAGTCCTATCAAAGAAATACTCAAATAAATAAATTTCAAGAAGATAAAACTAAATGTATTATCAAAGAAATACTCAAATAAATAAAATTCAAGAAGATAAAACAAAATGTATCATTTTTTAGTGAAAGTTCTACTAAATGTCTTTGGTGTCATTTTCGTTAGTATCATTTACTGCCAAAAACCAACCATGTTTCACTAAGTAATCAATATACTACTGACTCACGGGTTCCTTCCTTTTACGGAGAGGCCACATGATTTTTTAAAGTAATTTGTGGTGATTGCTGAGCAAATAAATAAATAAATAATAAATAATTTGTGGTGATTAGCAGAAAATGTAATTTGTGGTTCTCGCCACCGCCGCGGACCCAATATTTTACTTCATCTTCAAGTAAAGACATACATTTTGTTTTTTTTTGAAAAATAAATGTTGACGGTAAAAATTCGTCAACAGAGTGATGATGAGTCTTTAGTGTTAATACGTGGATTTAAAGTGTAATTTAGAACTAAAAAGAGGAAAAGAACACCGAAATTTATAGTGGTTCACCCAAATGCTAGGCTACGTCCACTGTGAGAGTATTTTTCACTAATCGTTTTAGGAGAAATTACAAGTATTTTTCACTAATCGTTTTAGGAGAAATTACAATCTTCCAGAGAAAACCTCCTTGAGAGGTATTACAATGCTCTTTTTCATGATAGAGGGGAAAGAGATAGAAAGCTTGTGAGTGATTCTTTCGTAGAAATTACTCCCCTCCCTCTCTCTACCTTTCCTATTCATATATACAATCATATCTATTTCCCGCCAAGCTTTTTGGGCTCGGTCTTGCCACTCCTCGTAACAGTACCCTTTAGTGACTAAGATGTTGGCTGGTCTCCCACATTCTCCACTACCTCTACATGCATTTAATGTCTGCCACATGTCTAAAAAGCTGCCACACTGCGTGAACGTGGGTGTGGTCGGCGCCTTAGTACTCCTTGAAGCGGTCTTCGCTCATGAGGGGAGAATAAGGTCGACCGTATGATGCACTCCCTAATGCGGTCGTCCTCTTTTGGGTTTTAGCTCCTATTTACGGTCGGCGTCTAGAGTTGGTGTCTCTAGGAAGATACGATTCCTTGTGATCCACTAGTCCGACCTTTTAATACTTATAATGTCATGTGGCGAGTGTCTATGTGGGAGCCATCTAACCGTTGACGTGGAGTGTGGAATTCTTTAATATAACAATACATAATATAAAAATATGAATACTTGTGTTACAATATTTTTTAATGATTATTAAATACATACATATATATGATTAGAAAATAAAATACATACATATATATATATCAAAAATATAAAATTCAATGGACCTGTACATACAAAACCTAATCTTAATGGGCCAGCACGGAAAATTCACACTTTTTTTTTAAGTTATTTATTAAAAAAAAAAAAATCGGTGATGGTCAGGACGACTAACCTCTTTCGGTGCTTGACAGCTCCCCCACTTATCAAACATTGTTATCTTGTTTACACATGTCACGTTGTTTGTAGCAGTTTTTAAGGAAGGATTTTTTTTTTTTTTTCACTTGAATTTTAAGGAAGGGAAGTAAAATATTTCTATTGGGCACTACCTTTGTCCCGGTTGGTCTCATGCTCCTATTGAGATTTTAATTTTAATTTTTTTTTTTTTGTCAAATGTAAAGTTTTAGAAAAAGGGTCCCTATTTATGGAAAAACAAAAGAATAAAATCGTGCTTCTACTTTATAATAGGAAACTTTTATGTCCACATTTAGATCGTTTATGTTTTATTGTGTCCTTATTAAAATTATTATATGTTTTTTGAACATTATTATATACGATTGAAATCAAATTAAAATAATGGGTATATATAAAACTAGTAGACCGAGTGGATAAAAATCTAACAGTTCTATAGATTCTATCCATCTATGAGTATATATATATATATATATATATGTATATATATATATATTTCTAGAATTAATTCATTTGTGCTCCCAATGGCCCAATGTGTGTGCCCGCGACATGCGGACATGAATGCTGGATCAAAAAGCCCACTCCGTGCGGGCTTAGTTTTCTTTTTTATTTTTCCAACTTAAATCCATAATTTATTTTTAAATAAATTCAGATTGGTAACTGCAGCATTAATCAGGTTTTATTGTGCGTTTATGAGCATAAAAACTATGAATATGAACATACCTTGGAGCATGTTCATCAAGAGCTGTAACCTCTGTTTTTAATTTCCATTAATCCGAGAATAAAGGTGTTTTTAACCTCTGGATTTATACACCATTATGGCATGGTATAACACCTGAATTTTAGAACCTATATAAAAGGTTCTCCAAATGAAGGAAAGAATACACACACATTCTTCTCCTCCCACGGTTTCTCTCTTATCCTCTAGCTCTTCTCTTGCAATTCTTTTATAGTGTGCTTTTGGTGATAGAGGAAAGGTGCAGTTCTACTTCACTGAGACGGTTCCGATAGTGCGTCGTTCTATTGTCGTTGTCGTTGTATCCTAGGAGACGAACGTCCAACGTTACCTCAAGCACTTGCCGGAGGGGACAAATCTATTTTAAGGAAAGCGTGATTCACGTGTCTCGACATCATCCGTTCTATTCGGTTTTCTAAGTTTGGTAGAAGGTTGAATTTGCGTTGTAACAATTTCAATATTTTGTTATTGCAATAAGTTGTTATATATTGTTCTTCTTTGTATTATCCATATTATTGTCTAACAACAATAAATTTACATATTAAAAAGAATAAATAAGGACCTGTTCCGGTAGATCGATCTACTGGTAAGTTCAATTTTTAATTGTTAAATCTGATTAAAATCACATCAGATTGGAAAAATATGTAGAACATACGGTTTTGATACATATAACGGTTAAAGAGTACAAAAATTACCAATACTTTTATTTTTTTAGTCCTATCAAAGAAATACTCAAATAAATAAAATTCAAGAAGATAAAACTAAATGTATCATTTTTTAGTGAAAGTTCTACTAGTCATTTTCCTTAGTATCATTTACTGCCAAAAACCAACCATGTTTCACTATGTAATAGATAGAGTACTGAGGACTCACGGGTCCCTTTTACGGAGAGGACACATGATTTTTTTAAGTAATTTGTGGTGATTGATGAGCAAATAAATAAATAAATAATAAATAATTTGTGGTGAATAGTAGAAAATGTAATTTGTGGTTCTCGCTACGGGAAGTGTCACCACTGCCAGACCCAATATTTTACTTCATCTTCAAGTAAATATATACTTTTTTTGAAAAAAAAAATAATATAAAAAATATGAATACTTGTGCTACAATATTTTTTAATGATTATTAAATATATACATATATATGATTAGCAAATAAAATACATACATATATATATATATATCAAAAATATAAAATTCAATGGAGCTGTACATACAAAACCTAATCTTAATGGGCCAGCACGGAAAATTTACAATTTTTTTTAAAGTTATTTATTAAAAAAAAAAAATATCGGTGAGGGTCAGGACGACTAACCTCTTTCAGCGCTTAACAGCTCCCCCACTTATTAAACATTGTTATCTTGTTTACACATGTCACGTTTGTAGCAGTTTTTAAGGAAGGATTTTTTTTTTTTTTTTTTTCACTTGAAATTTAAGGAAGGGAAGTAAAATATTTCTATTGGGCACTACCTTTGTCCCAGTTGGTCTCATGGCTGCTCCTATTGAGATTTTACATTTTTTTGTTTTGTTTCAAATGTAAAGTTTTAGAAAAAGGTCCCTATTTAATGGGAAAAAAGAGAATAAAATCGTGCTTCTACTTTATAATAGGAAACTTTTATGTCCATATTTAGATCGTTTATGTTTTATTGTGTCCTCATTAAAATTATTATATGTTTTTTGAACATTGTAATATATGATTGAAATCAAATTAAAATAATGTGTATATATAAAACTAGTAGACCGAGTGGATAAAAATCTTAACAGTTCTATAGATTCTATCCATATATGAGTATATATATATTTCTAGAATTAATTCATTTGTGCTCCAAAATTTTACGGTTATTCCTACTTTATTTCTAAATTTTAAAAATTATCACTTTGTTTTTTAAATTTTGAATTTATTCCATTTAAGCCTTTTTGTAAGAGTTTTTATTGAAATCAGATAGGAAAAAAGGAGTTAAGTCATGTGGCTACATGATTTTTATCTGTTTATTTTTAACAGAAATTTAAATAAAAAGATTACGTAACTGTATTACTTTTTTTCTATTTTTTTAACATAAATTACAACATAAGATATTAAGTGTGAATAATTTAAAATTTAAAGAGTAAAATGAATGTTTTTAAAGTTGGAAACACGAATTGAAAATGATAACAATCCTTTAAATATATATATTTGACCAAAATAATTCTTATTGAAGGAAACGTGTACCATTATCCAATTATTCATGTGCACAGCTGAGAATCGTGAGTAATGGTGGCAATTCGTATCACGTATCATTTTTATTTTGTGTTTTAGTCTTTTCTTATTAAATTGATAGTCAACCTGAACATGACTCGTGACACAATATTTTTTAAAAATCGCAATACAAACACGATACGACACGAAAATAACCCGTGACACAAAATTGACCGGTGTACCGAAATTGACATGAAAATTATATATATTTCTTTAGTTTTTTACACATTAGAAATAAATTAAAATTTATCACGTTAAAATATAATAACATCCATCAAACTTAAGTAAATAATAGTATATGATTTTTAATATAACTATCATGATATTACAAGTTTATAATAAAATCTAAAATATGTGATGAAATATATATATTTTTTAATTTTTTATAAGTTTTGTGTTGTCTTCGGATTAGGCGGATCTAACCTAAAATTAATCCGTATTTTTTATGTTAATTTCAGGTCGACTCAATTCTAACCTAAATTTTTTTTTACTCAACTCTAACTCGTGAAATTCATATCATTTTTTAGTCTTGTTGTGATCCATATTTCTGATCTTAATCGTGGACACGAAATCCACGTGTTTTAAAGCATAGACATCACATCATGTACTATAGGTGACAGGTCATAGCCAAGTTTGAAACGGCTACCACAAATATATCTAGCTATTCCTGCTAACGTTAACGAACTAATTATGTTCCTTTCAACAGTTAGAGAAAAAGGTTTAATGAATTTGGAGATATTTTTCATCTAGATTCGTAGTACTTTAATTAATGGCAGCTGTAAGTCTGAAGTATAGTTTAAATTTATTTATTATATACAATACCTTTTTTTTAAAAGAAATTTAAATTTATATTCAAACATATATGAAATTAACAAATAAATGAGCTATTAATAATAGAACAGTCTACAACTTTATTTATTTCGTAGGTTTAGGTTTGAATTGCGGTTAAATTTTTTAGTTACAATATTTTCTGTTTAAACAATTTAAATTTGCGTTAAAATTAGAATGGATGAATAAGAAAAGAAATTAAATTTATAAAACAAAATTAAAAATTTATTTTTCCATTGGTATAACGCTCAAGGCAATTAGACAGAGATAATATAAGGGTCTGTTTAGATTATGATTCGAAATATATTAGTTTGAACTATAAAATCTGCAAAAATGTGGGGTATACAATTACAAGGTAATTCCTATGTATCAAAGAATAATCTGAATCTCAATCAAAACGAGTACATTCATATGCTGCCCTTTTGACTTGGATCGTGTGGTTACTAATTTATTATTTTGTAATTAAAATGTGCATAATAGTGATTGAACGCTCTTTCTAACAAAAATACTTGTCCATTTCGAAAGATTTGAGTGACACATACAACTTGATAAGACACCAAAAATTTGTGTGCCACATATTTTTAGTGCATTAGAGGATGTTTACGAGTGACACAAACAACTTGACAATACACCAAAAATTTTGCGTGCTTTTTTTTTTTTAGTGCATTAGAGGATGTTTTTTCATGAGACATTATTAAAGGGATGTCATCTAATCTCAATCTTGTAGCAGTGGCTTGAGCTACTATGACCGGATCAAGTTATTCTATAATAGGAGAGAAAAGCAGTGTTTTGCAATCTATCAATTAGATGACTTGTGATGGGGGAGATTTGAGTATTAATAGTCGTTTTTTTATATTATATTGTCGTTTGTTCTAGTTTTATAGTTTAGTTTTGTTATTATTATGTCATTTATCTTAGTCATTATTTTTTTATCGTTTTCTATGTGAGTTATAAATAGCCACTGAGTTATTGTATAAAGGGGACTTTGAATATTTTGATAATTGAATTAGAATTGAGTTTCCTCTTCAATTTGAGAATTTTCTCTTTTATGGGGTTTCTTTAGGTGGATTTGAGAATTCTTTGTATGGATTAGGCCGATAAAATCGCGTTCATTTCATTCCGCTGTGTCAACTTGCTTTTACTCAAGATTGTGAACCAACAATTTAGGAAAGGCCTAGTGAACTATCAGATAATGCACACTTATTTAAGCCGACGCGCCAAGCTCACTCAAACGTAGCTATGGACATCGCCGATGTCTCTACGATCAGATGAAGTCGAAAAATGTGAATTCGTGTACGTAATTGAATTCATAAACAACGTTAAAAAATACAATATTAATCAGATAAAACATCATTAGTCCTTATGCGCACACATTTTCAAACTCTTCAACGTTTTAACCGACAAAGATATTAACATTCTTCTCCCCATTTCATAAATTAGTACATATACCCTACAAACTAGCTTCATTGTCTGCATGTTTTTGTCCTTAACCCTAGGTTCATCATACTTTTGCATCTTAAAAATATACGTGAATAATGCATGAAATAATATTGCACGCTATTTCTCCGCGTGCAATGGTGTAGCTATAGGATTTTCCACAATCTGTATGCTGTGATTGCGTCGGATCGTCGGAAAAGACATGTTAAAACTCTTAACTCTTTCGGCAGTCTTAACAATCGCCAAAAACAGAACCCTATAGAAAACAACCATTCCCAACAACACCGCAAGATCAACCCACTTAGAATAGCTCATATTTACCTGCCATTTACTCTTTAAAATCTCTTCTCCAGTTATTGTGGCTCCTCCTCCAAGTTCATTATTTGGAAACACCAACCCTTCAAACTCATTCTTGAACAAACCCTGGTAAGCATACCGATGGAAAGCGACGTAGAACAAAGGGTACCTCCAAAACTGTTTGGGAAGATCTCCGGGCAATCGGAAAAAGCCGCCTCCCAAAATCATGAAGCATTGAATTCCGGAGCCCGCGATAATTCCCATGAGGAAGTTTGGAACGAGACTCGCGACGATCATCATTAGGCTTTCTACCAACATCATGCAAACGTAGAGAACCAAGATGAAGTAGGAGAAGTGTTGGTAATCTTTTCGAAGTCCCGGGAGATAATAGGTTAGCGCTCCGGGAATAAGGGAAATTAACAGCAGGTATGGCTGAGAAGAAAGTGTGTTGCCTATCACGAATGCTGTTGCGCTGTAGTGTCCATTTAGTCTTTCTCGTTCAAATACCTGGATCACATTAGAAATATAATGATGACTTTCAAAATTTTTTTATCAAATGTAACATATTATGAAGTGTGACAACTACAAATTTCATCAAATTGTACATATTATGAATGTGTTGAATATAATTACGCATAGTGACATTTTCACGTCGAACTTTAAGACCAACAAATTATTACGTACACAAGAATATACTTCATCTTCATGTGAATCTCTAACTATATGAGAAACCAATCTAGAGGGAAAAAAGAACAATATAATTTTAGACCAATAAATCTGTCCATACAAATCATAGATCACTATGTTTAACACTACTCTAATGTAGGAACTATATAAATATAAAGCTCTGACATTAAGTTTAATGCTTCATGATATTCTTTGTTCTTGGGGGTGGGGGGTGGGGGGGCGGTGTTTCACGCTCTTAAGTTTTTTTGGCCACTTTTTTATAGATGGCTGATTTTTTTTTTTTTAAAGTAAAATGGTAATTTTTTATTGTAATTAATCAGTGTCAAATTGGTTCATCAATTTAACAATGATTTATCACTGATAAAGCGGTTCATCATCAATTTAATAATGATAATTTATCACTGATACACCAGCTATTTGTTCATTAAAATTAATAAAGAAAATATCCATTTCTTAGTTTTACAAAACTTCAACCATTTATTAAAAATGCCCTAAAAACGGCCAATTACTCCCAAGTCCAAAAAAAAAAAAAGAAAAAAAAAGAAATACTAATTACACAACAAGAATAAATAGAAAACATACCTTCATGTCTTCCACAAAGGAAGGAAATCCACCAATGGTCATGAACGTTAAGAATGAAGCTACAAACATGAGTAGTGAACCTCTTGACTGAAACAATAAATTAAGCATAAAAATTAATATAAATTAAAAAATATCTAAGCAATTTTCTTGTGAACCTAATTTAATGAAGACTAAAATCCAATCACTTTGTACCTGAATGGATTCATAATCAGAGCCAATTTCGTAATACAGAGTGCCCAGACCTAGAGAAAGTGAGACATATATAACTATGCGCAACCAATAATAGCCCCAATCCCGATGCATATTTTTGAAAGATCGCCTTGTAAGAACCAAACACTGATTGAGGAAGCTAGCATGGCTTCTTATCTTGATCTCCACTGCACGATAATCCTGTTGTTCATCATCAATGCAAATGTCACTCAATAATTTAGATCTTGGAGACTTTTTATTAGTATGGAATATTTCGAACTAGAGTAATATAAATTATCTTTTAGAGTTTCTAATTAATTTTATCCATTGTTGCATTTGTCATATAATACAAAAAGGATGTCGATCCTTGGGTTAGGAAAGAAAAAAAAATCACATTAATTATGAGTTCTCGCTATAAATTTGATGTCCATTAGTTAGTAGGCAACTTGTTAGTTCAACAAACTGATTAAGGGAAGGATTTAGCAAAAGTCTAATGAAAAGTAAAGGGATTTAGGTCTCTAAACATTTAAGTTCAAGACTCAATAAATGTAAATATATATGGTAAGTGAGGGATTCTTTTGTCGATCATTGCCCTGCCAATATTGAATAAATTTATTAACTACAAGTTATATACCTTGCAAGTTGTACCTAGATATATATATATATGTGTGTGTGTGTATATATACCTGTTTATTGGATATGTCAGCTACGTGTCTTCGAACTTGCTTGTAACCTTCAGAAGCTTTATAAGACTTCATAAGCGTATCAATGGCTTCTTCTACTGTGCATGTAACTCCAACCATTCCACTCTCAATATCCTGCTAATACTAACAGCATTACACAACTATATTTCTCTAAGGAAAAAACCATAAATAGCAGTCAATGTGGTAAAAATATTATTTGTACCACTCCACTAAAAAATAAACCATTGTCTTTCAATTAATAAAAAGAAAACAAAAGACAACAATGATACTCAATTATTTAAAATGGTATAAATAATAATTTACGCAAAATTATGACAAACCATGTACTTTTCTCTTTCTTTTAAAACAACAGTACTATATTGAGCTCTTACACATATAGCAAAAGAAAAAGAAAACAACTAGTACTCAAGATCTTCAACATTTCTAATTAAGCTAATTAATGTGGCATTAGACTAATTGGCTTCTAAAAATAACGCATTACCTGTTCAAAATCCTTGTTTATGGTTTTCAGAAAGTGGTCTGATGGATTTTGGAGAGTCGGACAAGGAAAACCACTTGAAGCAAAAAACTGCATATAATCCAACAGAGAAAGTTTAGGGGAAGCTTAATTATCAAAAAAAAAAAAAAAAAGAAAGAAAGAGAAAGTTTGGGATACCAAGTATTTTCTACAATTAAATAACTACGTTGTTCGTGTATCAAATTTTCTCTTTAATAATTCACTGGATATTGGATTTGGTACAAATATTAACTTTAACAATTCATAGTTTTCTAACAAAATTTTTTGTTATAAAAAATAATAATGTGTGGCTCTTACCTCATTTGCTTCAGAAGCAGGACCAAAATACACTGTTTTACCAGCAGAAAGAAGGCAAAGACTGTCGAAAAGTTGAAAGACTTCAGAGCTCGGCTGGTGAATGGAAGCCACAATTGTTCTCCTGACTCCGTCACTCTGATCCAAGCCAGCGATTCTGCTCATGACATAGTAAGAAGCGGCGCTGTCGAGGCCGCTCGTCGGCTCGTCAAGGAATAGAAGCTTCGGGCGCGTGAGGATCTCAATGCAGATGCTGACTCTCCTCTTCTGCCCGCCGCTGATGCCCTTCGCTCCCCACCCGCCGATGCGAGTGTTGATGGCGTCTTGCAGGCCCATCTCTTTTATCGTCCCGTTCGCTCTCTCCTTCTTCTCCGATAACGGCATGGAATCCGGGAGTTGAAGCTGAGCTGAGTAGTGTACTGCTTCCCCCACCGTTAAGGTTGTCATCAAAGTATCGTCTTGTGTTACATAGGCCTGAGTCCATCAGTCCAAACAAAGAAATTTGTTTTTAAGTTGTTTTTTCATCTGTTTGATTTCCGTTTATATCCCCCCGAAATTATGTGACTCTGGTTTAGAAAGTTAGGTTCCGTTTATTTCACCGATTCGAATTTAAAATTCGAGTTTTGTTACAATATAAAACTGTCAGAAACAGTCATATTTAACTTTTTTATTACAGTAAAAAATTTTCACATAAAATCACATATCAATTCGAATTAAAAACTCAAATCAGCGAACTAAACATACCTTTAATTTTTTTTTTTTTTTCATTTTAGATGAGAGGTATATATATGCGTTGACGGTAAAAAGTGTGAGAATGGTGACCAATCGTAGCTATCTCTAAATGAGACGAAAAGAACCGCATGCACTAAGACAGCAGACATAAGTAAACATACGTGTATAATACGTCTATTTTGTTAAAAATTTTCTTTTCCATACTTCTACTAATACTTGAACAACATCATATCCTATTTTGGTTGCGTTTTCTCCTCAGACTGTAATCTTTCACTTTGACTTGGCTTCTTTTTATTTTTTATTAATAAAGGCAAGTGGACTTCTTGGAGGGTTTGTTCTCTGGGGCGGCGCTAAGGCCCTAACTTAAGATTTTGTTCACTTTACCGATTCGAGTTTAGAATTCGAGTTTTGTTACAGTAAAAAGCTCTCAGAAACAGTCACATCTAACTTTTTTACTATAGTAAAAAGCTCTCACATAAAGTCACATTTCAATTCGAATTAAAAACTCGAATCAGTGAACTAAACGGGCCATAAGATGTCTATCTTGTAACTATTAGTAATCCTTTTTCCTTATTTACTTTTTTTATTAAAAAAACAGTAATTGCTCTTAATTATGTGAGGATTTTTACTGTTTTCTTTTCTATCTAATTACTAGCTAAACAAAAATTAAATATTTACCAAGCCTTCAAATCCTCAATTTCGTAGTTAGTTAGTTTTTATGTAATGGTTTCTTTTGAATGGATTACACTAACTTAAAAAAAAAAAAAATTTAAAAATTTAAAAGCTTCAATTTATGGTGTTTGTGTAACAGAAATTGATTCGTAATCGGCAGCAAAAAAAGGTTTAATAGAAATTGTTTCTGTATATAATTGTCATTGGTCATACCGAAGTACCATAAGCCAGAGTCTGTTTATGTCCATTTATCAGAATCTCCCCACTTTGCCTTGTCTTTGAACTCAATCGTCCTGCAAAACAATATACGGATTGAAGTTGAAGCAATTTGAACTGGCTCGGCAAAGAAATTGCCCTGATCTGGACGAAAATTGAAATAAGAGAAAATAATAATAAAAACAAATGATCATTCCAAAAAAGAAAAATACGGATAATATCATTTTAGTACCTGTGTTTTGATATTTTTTTCGATTTGGTACTTTCTTATTTGGAAAATCATTTAGGTTAATTGACCCCTTTTGAGAAATGAAATAACAATTCTGCCCTTTTAGTCTTAAATCATAATTAAAATGGAAAAATAAATAAATTCCTAAGAAACATATCGCCTAAATCAAATAACTAAGAGTATGTTTGGTAGGAAAGAAAAGTAGAAGGAAGGAAGAAGGTGGAGGGATTTTGGGAGGAAAAATGAAAATGTAGATTGTTTGGTATGAGAGAAAAGAGAAAGGAAGAGAAAATGGAGTGGAAAATAATACCTGTAGGCCCCACCATTTTTTTTCTTTCCACAAGTGGGCAGAAAATGAGATGAAAAATGGGGACAACCCATTAAAGTGAGCAAAGTTACTAAACTACCATTTTCTCCATCAACATCCAAGCAAAAAATTTAAGGGTATAAAAGTAATTTACGAGTAAGATTTTTTCCTTCCTCCCAATTTAACTTCTAATACCAAACAAGTGAAGGTAAGTTCATTTTCTTTCCATCTTCTCATACCAAACAACATAAAAGAAAATCAATTTCCTTTCCATTGTTGCTATTTTCCATCACTTTTATATTTCCTTTCTATCCTATTTTCTTTCCTTCCTACCAAACATAGCATAAACTAAGAAATTAAAGGCAAAATAGTGTCAAATCCACCTCTTATCACAAACAAATAAAAAAATTTAAAAGGAGAGTTTCATCATTTTATATCTAAAAAATATAATCTCCAGCACATCCTGTTCATAATCTTAAAAAAAAAAAAAACATGGTATATATCTGAATGAGATTTTCTAAAGAATAATGTACCGAGTTGGAAAAATAATAAATTACATAGTATCGGAATAATATTTTCCCCTAAGAATAATACAAATGATGTTGAAAACAACTCTTTTTGCTGGGAATTTTTTCTACAAATACAACTTACAAAGATTGAGCTCACATATCTCTTAATATGCCCTCTTTTGTATCTCTCAATAAGATTATGCTAAGTCAGTTAAAATCATGAAATTTTAATTGACGAAAAAAAAGCAATAATAAAGAAAGCAGTAATAAAGCGACACAAGATCGATTCCAACCGACTGAGGGCTGAATTGAATGTTTCATTAATTAATGTTTGTCTCAATAATTAGTGCGGGGCAGGGGTGAAAAGCAAATTTTCCAAAAACTTGTTTTGTGGTAGCCATTAATTATATCGCTTTCATCGGCTACAAGCTTGTCAGCAGAAAATAAATATGTCGTTCCATTCATTGCCACAAACGTGCTATAAGTAGCACCAATTCTCTTCTTTTTTAAAAAAAAAAAAAAAAAAAAAAAGAAGTACCAAAGAAACGCCAACAGTTATTTCTAGGTTGGAAAAGGATCATGCTTGATCATTTACATATATGGTCTTTGCTTGATCATTTATATATGCAGTCTTTACTCATTATTTGTTTTTAGTGTTGATACGGTAAATTTGTTCTTTTTATTTATCGACATGGTTCGTGGTTAATTTGTTGGTCGTATCAACTTTCGAGTAATGGCAAATTTCTATGTGATATTATTTTTTTTAAATTCAATGTTTAAATATACTCAGCAAAAAATCTTTCAAATATAAATTTATCTTCATACTTTTTTATATCTCACACAAAAGAATTCAAGTAGCAAATCATAGAATGGCCATAAACTTTCATATTCTTTTTGAACAGATTAATTTTCATATTCTAATCGCATAATTTCCAAACTTTATTTTTAAAAAGGTCTCAATGCACAGACTTGTATATTTACTTATGTTATCGAAAGCAAAATGAGTAACAAGACACAATAAGTTACTAACACTTTCTTTAAACTGGTAACACAATGGCATCTCATACATGTTTTTCTGACAAAAGATGCAAAAAGATTTATTTTTTGTTCTTAGGTAGCACTAGACAAATGCAACCCAATTTTCAGCAGTTCGATAAACTTTTCCGTCATCCAACATTTTATAATTAAAAAATTAAGAACCATCACTAATAGAAAGTATATTACATCCCACCTATAAATCTCATGTTGCGGGACCTATTTTCTATTGTGAGTGGTGCGAGTCCTAGCATTGTTTTTATAATTATTTGATTTGTACGCTGTGTCAAGAAAAAGAGGGTTATTTATACAGTGTAGTTACGGCGCATAGCCAGTTTAATCAGATTATAACGTAGGTATGTATACAAATATAAACTAAAATATACATATATACAATATAACATTGATAAAGATTTATCTATCATGATTCATGATCGAACGAATATTGCACTTTTCTTAAGTATTGTCATACAAAGTAACCATTATATTACACCCCACGGCCATACTTACATCGGTTCTTGTGAAGTTTTAGCTTATTAATATGCAAATATATATTTTAAATTCTAGGAAAACTCTCACGTATGGTGTTCTTGGTATACCATTAGGTGTAGATTTTGGTAAACTGAATAATATAGCATACGTGATAGTTTTACCTGCTAATGCGTCAAGAAGAGTAGACTTGCCAGAACCAGAAGGACCCATTATAGCCAATAGTTCCCCTGGCCGGGCATAGCCCGTTAGACCTTGAAGGATCGGTCTGTTACGGTTCTTTCCAGCTCTACTGGAAACCGTCACCCACAGATCCTCCCACGTCAAGCAAACTCCGCCTTCTACCGCCGTTTCAACCGCCGCCCCGGAGGTAGTTCTACTTCCGCGGTTCGGAATTCGATTCACCGTTTCAATTTCGACCACAGCTTTAGTTATGTCTATGCTGCTAGAGCTCCTATCAGTTTCTGAATTGTTTCTATTATAATGTTGAACACTAGAGGGAAGAAGAACAGAAGCCATATTAGGATAGATATGGAGACTAGTATAATCCAAAGAAAGGTTCTCTTTGTTTTTGTATTGCTTTGTTTGTATTGTTAAGGAAGTCCTAGCAGTGTATATATAGTAAAACATATGGATACGGATGCCACGAGTGTGGTGGCTTAGCTAGCGATGGATTATCGTGGCTGAGTCTATAGTCATACGTTGAAGTGTTGGTGGGTTCTTTGACTGTTTTAATATGGTGTGTGTTTGGAACTGTTTTTAAAACGGTTTTTACGTATTTCGAAAAGTAAAAAATGAAAATGAAACGATGTTTGTTTAGCAAATGTTTTGAAAATGAAAACAGTGAGAATGGTTTTTGTAAAAGAATTAGAAAAGAGTTAAAAGTTGTTTTCACTTTTCTGTTTTTATTTTTTAGTACTTATCAACAATATTATAATATATTAATTAATAAACACGATTTTACTTTTTTATTATACTCAAAATAATCGCTTAAAAAACTAACCAAACACAATTTCAGAATCGGTCCCAGAATGATTCTCAAAACAATCTCGTTTCTACTTTTAATTGAAACTAAAATTATTTTGAAACAAATTCCAAACGCACCCATGAAGTCTTCTTTTTTACCAGCCACTGATGAAGGCAGGATTTTTATTCAGTGGGACTTAAATTTTTACCTGAATATATTTTTTTAAACAAATTGACTTTTGTAATTTTAAAGGGGTTATATTTAATTTAATGTATATTTATGTAGATTTTAGTTGGAGTAAACTTAAATTTTTCTTAATTCTTGTGAGGCTAATTGAAATATATAAAGATTTGAGAGGCTTTTCTCAATTGTTGTGGGGGCTATTTGTTAAAATAACAAGGACATAAGTAAATTTTTTCAAGAATAAAAAATGTGAGCCTAGTAGATTAAACGTGGCTCCGTCCATGCTACCAGCATAATACACGATTTAGTGCGTCTGAGTCTACGCTTAGGGCTAGATCCACACCTTTTTGAGGATAGGCAGTCGTGCAACTTGAATTTTTTTTTTAATTTTATTAAAATTTATAGTTTGTCCTCCTAAAGATTTAAAACTATATGTCTGTCCTTCCTTATCTGAAACTATGGCTGTGTTTAGAATTAATGCTGTTTTTATTTTTCACATTTTTTAAGAAAAAAAATAAAAAAGTTTTTAAAACGGCGTTTGGTGCAATAAAGACAAAAAAACAGAAATGAAAATGATTTTTTAGTTTAGTGTAAATTGAGAGAGAAATAATTTTTTTTTTATTTTCGTTTTCTCCTCTCTCGAGCAAAGAGAGAGAAATAGAGACATTAATAGGTTTTTTTACACTGAAAATAATCTCTTGATAAAACTATTAAACGCATTTACAAAAATTATTTTTGTCTGAGATTGAAAACGTTTTAAAAAATAAAATCATTTAAAAACGAGTTCTAAACGCACCGCCCTATATACCTGCCTCTGCTCAATTTTCTTTCTCTGCTTCTACCTACGCCTCTACGTATTTAAATTGTTAGCACATTCAGTACAACTGAGGCGACACATTTCCCATCAAATGGGAACTTTCAGCGAGTATTCTTATCAGATATGAACACAACCCCGCTGATAACATCTAGAGATCAGGTATGCCAAGCCCCCTTCTCAGACTCATTTTCTAGCAAAAAATAAAAGCACATGCATGAATGGATCGCACCATGTGTTTCAGGTTTACATGCGAGCAAAAATTCAAAGGTTAACCAACATCCAATCGGACTTTGGCATGTCGGGTTAATTAAAGATATGTCATAATCAATACAAGGAAAGAGAAATTGAAAAATTGTCCTCCGTTCAACATTACTAATGGTGGTCGATGCAGGTACCACAGTGTGTGGTTCTCATTCCATAAGCATTGATAGTATTGTTTAAACGTCCCTTGTTTGTGAATTTTTCTTCTTTTCCTGATAAACGTTTTTCACATTGGTAGACATACGTACCCGCCTCCAATTTAAGCTTCTGCATGCAGCATCAGATATCCTCATATTTCAGAGCGTACACATATATCTGCCATAATAACTACTGGACGTGACAGATAACCAGATATGTAAGGCGCCAAAGGGCTACCACAAATCCCATGTACGTACTGCTTAATAGCGCCCTACTTATTTCAGCCGCATCTTAAAAGAGAGCATATTCAAATCACTTGTCTAATTTTAGGACTCGTTCACTTTGCTGATTCGAGTTGAGATGTAATTTTATGTGAGAGCTTTTTACTGTAGTAAAAAAGTTAGATGTGACTGTTTTTAAGAACTTTTTACTGTAGCAAAACTCAAATTCTAAACTCGAATCGATAAAGTGAACGGAGCCTAAAATGTATTGAAATAATGTTTAACGGGTCAAATTATGCCGACATTATTGATTAGGTAATTAAATTTCTATACCTTAGTAATATTATAAGATCTCATTAACTTTGTTAGGTTTAGAAAAGATACCTATTTATTCTAGTTGTATCGTGGAAAATTTGAACGTCATTTTCAAATGAGAAAATAAGCTTTTTTTTTTTTTTTTTTTCCTTCCCATTCAGTTGAGTCGTTACGTAATTGCAATTATGACAAGTGAAGTTACTTAAAGAAATTGTTAATTAGACTGGGTCTATAGAATATGGACACCTAATCAGGCGTCTACAGTTGACTTAACTCATATTTCTTTATTTATTTAATCAAAATATAGCCACGTGAATCACGGTCCGTTCATTTTATCGATTCGAATTTTGTTACAGTAAAAATTTTTTAAAAAAAGTCACATTTAATTTTTTTATTACAGTAAAAAGTTCTCACATAAAATTACGTTTCAACTCGAATCAGCGAACTAAACGGACCCTACTAGTCTACTATCAATTGGTGTTTTTTTTTTCCACGAAAATTTCGTGCTAAAAAATTTCTTTAATTAGTAGCTTTTTTCTCCATAAACCAGCTTTATTGGTTAAAGCTCGTGGCCTAAAGCTTTTCTTCCCAAGAAAGGCAATTTTGTAGGAAAACGATGAACTAGAGACAAATAAACCATGAAGAAACTGGAAAAAAAAAAAAAAAAAAAAAAAAAAAAAACCAAAAAAAAAAGGGAAAAAAAAAAAAAAAAAAAAAAAAAAAAGACCAACAACTGAGCAGCAGAAAACTACCAGAAAGGAAAAAGCTCAATAGACAACGATACAGGACGAAATAAAAACCAAAAAAATTGCGGAAACTGGATTAGAAGTTGTTGTCTTGAGACCAGGCTACTGTTTCGGAGAGCACATTTGCGGGCATGGCCGTTAGGTTCGCTAATTTAAGTTTTTAATTTGAGTTGAGATGTGATATTGTGTGAGAACTTATTACTGTAATAAAAAAGTTAAATGTGACTGTTTCTGAGAGTTTTTTACTGTAATAAAACTCGAATCAACGAAAAAAACGAGACCTGAATTTTGATAGGCCGGAAGACATTGTTCTGCTCTCAGTTTAGGAAAGATGAGGATAGAGAAATGGCATCGTTCCGTTCTGCCCTCTCCCAAGAGGCAGACAAATGCCCAACTAAGAGACCGTTTGGTATTGAACCCATGAACACAATCCAAATTAATGTTCGGTATACTAATGGAAGAAAGAGGGATTTATAGGATTACCACAAAATTTAGGCTTAGAATTAACTTATGCGATAAAAAAATATTTGCAGCAACACGACCACATCATCACATTCTATTTATAATACCAAATATATCCTTGAGGTACTAGTCAATATTCGCCAACAATACCAGTATGTGGCTGAGATACCAACTAATATTTGCGATGATGTTGTAACCAATTGAGTCACCGACTGGTAACCACCGAGTTACCAGCCCATATTGCCCTAATTTATCGAAAACTGTTGGCGACCAACCGGGAAACTAAATCACAAAAATACACAAAAAAAAAAAAAAAAAAACAACACACACACACAAAATCCACCAATATTACTACATAAAGATTACAAAAATCCACAAATGACAAAACAAAAAAAAATAGTAAACTCTAATTGGTCGGGAGGAAAGGACTTATAATACCCAAGCCATTAAAAACACTGCAAGGAAACAACTCTTGCTAGAAAAACCTTAAGAAAAATAAACTACATGACATTGAAGCACCGGAGATCCCATCGTACTTATTGGACAAAAGCAAAATTAACAAGTGGAGATATCGCCATGACTCGATGTAAGCAAACACGACCATCACTAAAGAACCTTCTGTTTCTGATGAAGCCTTCTACTACTTGAACGATAATCTTCTTCATCTTCGAGGTCCATCCAACAATCACAGTCTGGACCACACACAGAGGGATCAGTATCCCTTATGAAGTGGCCATCAACTTAGTTTGTGAAAATCTTAGACCCACCTGTTGTAAAGCAATCAACATGAATTTCTTTTTCTGTAGATACTGGTCTGATTATCATAGACAGAGTTATGCTGGAACCTTCATCAGGTAGTTTAAAGACAGTTTTCACCGTCCATTTTCAAACCGGATGAAAGTTGGATCAGTTGTATGGATGAGTTTATAATTCTGATGTAGCTTCTCATAGTTGGTAAATCATTCTAAGGGCATGAGCTTTGTGATTTCTTCCCGTCCTTTGCTCCCCGATTCTCCTTTAGGCCAATTGCGATCTCGGCCCACTAGAGCAAATAAATCGCAGACCATAAACCACTCTTACCTAGTAGATAATTCTTCAGCCGCAATCTCCTCCGTTGAAAATCTCAATTGTGCGCGACCAAACCCCAGGCTAGAGATCCAAAGGCCAAGCCAAGGCCGAAGAGAGACTTCGGCTTAAGGGAAGAAGTGGAGGGAGGAGGGTGGCATAACAACAATCTTATGAACCCTATCAAAAAATGTAGAGAGGGAGAAAGAGAGAGAGAAAGAGAGAATCAATGTGCAAAATCACTACAAAAGGTTGATTTGTCAGTATCGTATGCGTGGTACAGCCGTACAGGGTTTACCATCTAAAAATGTTGTTTTATCAGTATCCCAAATTTTTTTTTTTTTTTTTCAAATGTTACCTTTATAAATATTTCTTTTTTCCAATTGTGTTGAAATTATC